AAGTGTTCTTTGATTTTGTCTTTTTTAAGATATTTCCTAGATGCAGCATCAGAACTGACCACTAGAGCAAACCAGGGAGTATAACCCTATATTTACCTCGCTTGTTGGTAAAAGCAGCACCCAACCTGGCTGCTAGCAAGCAATTAGTAACCTAAGAATTCCTTTTAAAGATATCGTACTAAGATCTGTTCTAAACCTACTGTGTGGACAAGAAGCATAGTCCAGAAGTAATTTGTGTGTATTGTGCATCCACCAAATTCAGTATCATGGTCCCAAATGAAACAAATCAATGAAGAGATGAACTGAAGGCCCTCAGTAACGAAGGCTCCATTAAGTCTAGACCAGACTTAGACATACTGAGAGCTGAGACATTGAAAATGTATGTTGGAAATATTTAGAGGTGAGAAGCCTACTGGCAATTTACACTTGCATTGAATGAAATTGCATTAGTCACAGTTGAGACGTCAACTGTAGCCTAATTAGCTTGTGTAGAAATTTAGCACTGGTTGACATAGTACATCTTTCACGGTGTGCATTGCTCTATTTGGAGATATATCTGACAAATTCCTTCTCAGGGCCTCTTTTTTAATCTCAAACACATGTTGTAGGAGAGGGATGAAGAAAAAAAAAACATTTTCTCAACATGTGAAAACATGAATTTTTGACATTTCCACTCTCAGAATCCCATAGTCAACACTGTCAACGGTCATAGAGTAAGATAACAAATTTGGGGATTCTTTTTATCCAGACAGATAGTTTTTTCCAAGTTCTTCTGTATTTTATAGGCAGTGTGGAGTAAGATAATGTAGGACTGAATTTCCTTTGCCAATGGCAGTAGCCTCTGAAACAGAAAGGAGGGTGGTGGACACAGGTAAGACTGCTGAAGCTTCTTGCCATCCATGAAGGTTTTGCTGTTAAAATCAAAATCATGTGTCCTTAAGTCAATTCTGACTTATGGCAACCCTTTTCAGCATTTTCCAGGTAGAGAATACTCAGAAGTGGTTTATCACCCTCTTCTTCTGGGGGGCGCCCTGGGCCTGTACAGCTTGGCCCAAGACTCAGAAGTGGTTTATCACCCTCTTCTTCTAGGGGGCGCCCTGGGGCTGTGCAGCTTGGCTCAAGGCTACACAGGCTGGCTATGCTCACAGGATGTATAGTGGGGAATCAAACTCCCAGTCTCCAGCTCCATAGCTGGAGATACCCAAACCACTGAGCTATCCAGTCAGCAAATTTGCTGTTCAAATGAGGAAGGACACAAAAAGTCCCAGTCAGCCTGCCTTCTCTGCATGAACAGTAGACATATTGTGTGTGGCTGTCTTGAGGTGTGGTGAACAGAGTTGAGGAAAGAACTAGGATACTTCAATCTGCTTCTAGCAATCAGATTTTATCTATGAAAATTATAAGAGGTCAAGCTCTGTTTGAGAAATGTGATCAGAAAGTGCTCAACAACACTTGCCGACACCAAACAGGCGGCTCAGCACTTTTTCTACAGGAAATAAACTTGCTAGGGAAACACAGTTGTATGGCCTCATCTATACTAGATGGGGAAGTCGATGTGCATGTGACAGGGTTGCTTCTTTACAGCTGGAGTCAAGTGAATGGATATACAGTAACAGTACATTTGGGTTTCTGAAGTCTTCCTTGTTGCTTTACAGTTGCTTGGTATGAAAGTGCCAAATTGCAGAAAGACAACCCTTTTCATCAATTTCTGTCCATATTTAATCACCGGTCTCTGTGTTCTCCTTTGATGTGACTGAAAAACTGAACACTGGCCAGGCAGGGTGAGGATAATGTAACACAACACCAACCCCCCAAAAAACCCTGCAAAGATATTGACCTTCCTCCAAGTATCCCAATTTGACAGCATCTCTGTCTCTTTTTAATAAGTTATTATTAATAATAACCATTCCTAGACCCTTGATGTCTTATTTTTGTACACTCTCCTAATATTCTTATTATATTGGGGCATGAATTAAACCTTACTTCTCTATTACAATTATATCTTGTCTTTTCCCCACTAACTCAAGGCTGTATAGATGTCATTCTTCCTCACCCCATTTTATCCTCACATCAACCCTGAGAAGTGGGCTTAGCAAAAACAGCAACAACCACAAAATAGTGACTGGCTCAAAGTTACCCTGAGTAGACATAGGAATTTTGGTCACCTTAGGTTGTCTTGGTGCCATGTCAGCTCTTTCTCTTTCACTGCTACAGGCCTAATAATGCCACTAGGGCTTGTTCTCAGATCTGGTATGTGCCATCAGCTGCTTGACTCACCATCCCTTTGCTGGATTCAGTTTAGGCAATGACACGGAGACCCCAGCTTGTTTCAGGGCCAGTACCCATACCGGCCCCTCAATCCAATGCGGCTTGATCTGCTCCCACTTCTTCCTTTGATATCGCGCTCCTGCTGATCTCACATTCTCTGTTCATGGTCTGCTGTCCAGCTGCTGGGACTGTTTAAATATTGCAGAACAGTAAGGAGAAAGGGACATACATGCACAAACATATATACATACCATGGAAACACTGCAGTCTTCTGAAGTTCATCAGAGTAGTTTTCATTTTATATTGATGTTTACCTCTCTCTCTTTTATTGTCAGTGTCGGGATGATTTAGTGCTAAACTAATGCAACCATGGAGCAGTAGTTTGTTTTTAAAAATAAACAAAAAAACGTTTCAGGGTGACTAGGGAGAAAGATTGCAGGGGTAGGTGTTCCCTCTATCCCATAACACCATGCCTCAAGTTACCACTTCACCAGAAAACCATCCAAAGTCATGCCCTCTCCAGCCTTTTGGGGGGGGGGGAAATGATCACACAAACAAAACACCATTTAAATAATTGCGGTTAGTAAAAAATAGAAGTCCCCTGAGGCAGGGGAGGAAAGTCCAGATCAGAAGGGAAAAAGGACAGGAAGATTCACTGACCTTTACATCGTGGGATCATTGAAAATTACTTCGTATTCACCTGTGCCAATTCCAGAGCAAATTGTGAAATATTTTCCAATACAGTCAGAAGCAATTGCCTAAGAACCGAGTAATTACCTGGGAATAGATAAAGAATGATTTAAGACCATAGGTTGGAAGAGCTGCCTTTAAAAAAAATTACAACTCCTAGTATCCACCAGGCAGCAAGAAACAGTTTGAAAATCTGTTGTATGAAAGAGATACTAAACAGTGCTTACCGTGTTTCCCCGAAAATAAGACAGGGTCTTATATTAATTTTTGCTCCAAAAATGCAATAGGGCTTATTTTCAGGGGATGTTTTATTTTTTTCACATTCAACAATCCGCATTTATTTAAATACAGTCATCTTCTGGTTGCTGCGCAATGGTGGAGGGTGGGATTTCACTTAACTGGGGCTTATTTTGGGGGCAGGACTTATATTACAAGCATCCTGAAAATCATACTAGGGCTTATTTTCAGGTTAGATCTTATTTTCTGGGAAACAGGGGAGTTGGGGGCATAAGCCTGGAGAGAAACTGCATACAACGTCCTCTATTTACAAATCCATTGCTCCAGGAAGAACTTATCTTATCAAGGGGATAACATGGTGGAGTGGTCAGAAAAAAATAGCTGCTGGATAGCTCAGTGGCTTAGGTGTCTGGCTGCGCAGCCAGAGGCTTGGAGTAGGGATGGGGATATTCATATTTGGAAGACGATAGCTACCTTCCTAGCTGGCCCTAACGAGGGTCTGGCCCCCGTGATTAGCCTTTCCACTCATGTGTCCCGGCGTGGCAAAGATCCTGCTCTTCCTACCAACTGTCCCAGGACAGCCAGAGGCTTGGAGTAGGGATGGGGATATTCATATTTGGAAGACGATAGCTACCTTCCTAGCTGGCCCTAACGAGGGTCTGGCCCCCGTGATTAGCCTTTCCACTCATGTGTCCCGGCGTGGCAAAGATCCTGCTCTTCCCACCAACTGTGCCAGGAGTCTCCCTGCTTGGCTGGCCACTTAGCAGCCATGCGGAGAGACTCATCCTCCCACCCCAAATCCCCACTGTGCCTCATTGAGAAGGGCTGAAGTCAGTGATCCATAGTGTCCCTTCCAGCTCTGCCGTTCAAAGGTAATTATTATCATAAAGAGTTTAATTTTCTTGCAAGAAAAACGGTTTTTTCCTTCCTGGAAGGGGAAGTTAGCTATTGTCTTCCATTCCTCCCTGCCAGTTTCAGCATAGAGAGGTCAGAATATAAAACCTTATGGAGTGCCAAAAGTCATAGCAGCCTGTCTGTCATAGGAAAAAGGGATGGTGACACATCTCAAAGGTCCATACCCAGCTGGTCTTAGTGGGGCTTGCCTGGATGCGAAGTTATCTGGGTGTTTCCTGTTAATGTATTGTATTGTGCTGTATCAATGCTGACATACAGTAAAACTGCTATGTCTCCAGTGGTTTTCTGCCTTAATCAAGAGTCAAAGAAGGGAAGCTCATTGGGGTTCCGGCTAGTACAAAATAGTCAATTCACACAAGTGACTATCCTGACTGCAAGTTATAATCTCAAAAGATAACTTTTCAAAGCCCTGCTTGAGACTAAACTTCAGTAAACTTGTTGAAAGAACTACCACCAGAGTAAACTTCCATAGGATCCAATTACTACATACTCTTGTGCTATCATAAATCGTGTTACAGAAATATGTGACAGTCCCCTGTAGACATTTACTTTATGGCTTTTATGTAGGCATCCTAAAGTTCACAAATGGTTGATGAGGACACATTGTTTATCTCTTTAAATTTGGTAGTACTTCAGTACCCAACAACTATGGTCATCGGTCATCGCTGACAGGGAGATTCTGGGAACTGTAGTCAAAAGTTGTAACCTTTCCAAAGGTTTGCCTGGGAGAAACTGGGAGAATCCAACAGAAATTGAGCAAGGAAAGCTAGGTGCCAAAGATGTAATTTGAGACAAATATGTGTTTAGTATGTCAAGCTCCATGATGGCAGCATTGTTGGGCCTCACATGACTTTCCCATGCCTCCATCCCTTCTTTTTCTTCTCTTCCAGTTCCTGTGCCTCAAGAACATCCGAACCTTCCTTGCCACTTGCTGCGAGAAATTTGGTCTGTGCAAGAGTGATCTCTTTGAGGTCTTTGACTTGTTTGATGTGAAGGATTTTGCCAAGGTATGATTGTTCCATCCCTCTTTTCAACAAGAACACAGTCTTCATAGGAGATGTGTGGCAGTCACCACAAACCCTAAGGTCACACTGGTGGGGTACATCTATTGAAGCTTTGTATTTTTTTATATTTATATATGAATTACTGACTTCCAGAATGTCATATCATTAACAGTTCAGCTCAGATCTTCCAAACCAACGTCTCATGTTAAGTTGTTTTCTCCTTCTACTGCCCCCCCACCCCAGCAATATTGTTTTTTTCAATGGGTTCTGCTCAGATCAATTAACAGTTGTGGCTTCTTTTATTGGATCAACCCACCCACCCCAGCAATATTGTTTTTTTCAATGAGTTCTGCTCAGATCAACTAACAGTTGTGGCTTCCTTTATTGGATCAACCCATCTCATGTTAGATCTTCCTCTTTTTCTACTCCTCCACCATGCGTTTGCAGCAATATAGTCTGTTTTGGTCACTCCTGTATTTCCATTATATGTGCATGATAAGACAGGATCAGTTTAATCATTCAGTCAAGTTCATGCTTAACTTGACTGAGCACCCACTTTTCTGCTTTTCTGGCTGTCTTTAGTATATGTACCAATGCCACATTTCATGGTGTTGATTTTTGTCTGTCTTTCTTACCGTCCTTGCTTCTGTCTTCTCCCATGTGCTCATCTTTTGGAATCCCCTAGGACTGGGTTATTCTGTACAAGGGAAATTTCCAATGGAATTTGTGGATATATTTAACCTCTTATTTTAAAAAGTCAGGAAATTCAATTCCTCAAAAAATACCCCCCAAAAAACCCAAACATCCAGTTTATGAATGTGGGATATTGTGCTTCTGTGTCCACAATTCAAAAAGCCATGCAGTGGGTCAGTATTGCTGTATAATATCATACCTGCATTGACAGCTAGAAAAGAATGCCAGGCTCTACATGCCAAAGGGCAGCCTTTATGTTGACAACGGCAGCAGTCAAGATGGCCTACGCCATAGGATACCCTCTTCTGCTCACTACCATTCACACATGTTGAAAAACAGTCTTGACAATTGCTTCGTGCTTGGGTGAGAAGTGGTGAATTGATGAAAAAAGGAGTCAGCTCATTTCCCCTCTTGTGGTGTCACTTTGTGAAAGGTAGTGAGTATGTACAAGAGGGTCTCCTGTAAACCGATCTGGACAGCTGCCATTGGTGTTGTCATTCAGGCTGCCTTTTGCTGTGTAAAGCTTGGCATCCTTTTTTCAGAGGTATTTTGAAGAATTGAGCGCTGTTTTGAGAGGCATCCTGGGCCTCTATTAATAATATTAATATTAATAATATTAATAAATAGTTATTCTTAAGCAAAACGTGGAAGTATTCATTTTGGTGTGATTTTTTTTTGTTTTTTAGATTACAGCTTCAAGAATCCTTGATGGCCTAGGGGCTTGCTGGTCAAAGGATTCTGGAAGCTGTAGTTCAAAAAAGGAATTGTTCCTTTTAGGAAAAGTTGTGTCTTTGGTATTGTAGCAAGGCTACAACCTGTTTCTGATGCCCATGTTTTATTGCTCCAAGCAGTTGCATCATAAACGCAATCTGAAAGCTATGTCCGAAGATACTTTCTAATGTCACACAGAGGTTGCTGGAGGCCCATCTTTCAGTGGCATGAAAGGCAGCAAAATGTTTCATGCTAAGACTGGTGTGATGGAGAATTGCTGAAATGCTAGGAAGGGGAGGTGCCATAGAACATCAAAGCTTTAGGACTGTTTCACAGCATGTGAACTATGTTTGCCTGACCTCCTGCTTTCATCTCAGTAGGCCAGAAAGCAAGCAAACCTTTGCCCACAACAGGATGTGAACTATAGCAGCAGAACCACATAATCAGCTGCAGTGAGCATCTCCTGAAGGAGGAAGCTTGTGACGTGCAATCTTGCTGCAGAATTTTTACTTGAGACCAGAGTCTGTCCCCCACACTTCACATTGTGATAGCATTGTCCATTCATAGCTGCTGTCATGTCTTCTGCCTGAGAGAAGTATGAAGGAAACCATGTTCTGTGAAACAAGTAAAATTCACATCTAGAAAAATTCACTTTTGGGGACTATTGTTCCCAGGATGCTCAACTAACACCCCGCTGGCTGGGGAAATCTGAAGGGATAGTGTGGAAACGTACGTTTTCCAAGCTGTGATTAAATTATATAGAAAAGGACTGCAAAATGGGATGAGGATCAAACTGGGTACTCAGTTTAATTCTTTGTTCCAACATACCTGGTCATATATTTTAGGGCCAAGCTAAAGGTGAGTTATTAGTGAGTCCACACACAAATGATGGCGGTAGGTGGACAAGGATCTAGTTTTAGGATTAAAAATATTGTATGGATGAGGAAAGCTGAACAGCCTCACTTGAAGCATTTTAGAGTACAATCAGATGGCTGTTATATATAATACAGCCAAATGCCAAGTCTCTCTATTTTCAAAGAGAGATTCTTAGACACATGTGACTTTCTCATTTAAAATTAATTAGGCTTAAAATGCTTAATTTTGATTAGATTGCCCCTTTTATATACTGCTGTTTTGGTAATGCTTCATGTATTTCACATAGAATATATCAGTTTTCCTTGGAAAAGTTGAGTAGGAGGGCATGGACTGGGCAATACCACTTCATCAAGTGAATTCATGGCTGAAGTAAAATAATGAATAGCGACTCCCTCTCTCAAACACCAAATCGCCATGCTACATCACTTTTTCAAACTTAAAACCAACATAGGATGTGATCAGACAGCTACAAAGGTGTGTATCTGATCGCACCGGAAAACATTGCTTTAACAAGAGTGATCTCCATTAAAGCAACCTTCTGTCTGATGGAGGAATCACTCCAGCCTGGTCCCCAAAAGTAGAAAGCCTATAGTTGGACCAGAAAGGTCTAGTGTGGGTGTGGACCATGGTCAGCTTGGAGTGCATTTCCCTGTGCATTGTGTGTTGAAAAGTAAATAGAATGCACCAGGCTACTCGACATGCAGTCTGAACTGTGATCTATTTCCCCATCTCATCACACCAAGAGTCTTATGGCACAAAGATTAGCAAATTTATTATGGCACCTATTGTCCATGCAATGTCTGTGCACATGCCAGATATTTGCAGCCTAAAGCAGGACCCAAACAGCAACCTCACCTCAAGCGGCGGATATGAAAAATCACAATTCCTGCTTCATCTTGTAGCCACCTTGGGTTCTTTTTGAGGAGAAAGGCAGGATAAAAATATTTTCAATCAGTCACACACTCAATCAATCAATCAATCAATCAGTCAATCCCCAAACCCCCTCTGTTGGTGCCATGTGGCATCTTCACTCTTGCGTAGCAAGGCCATCCTTGCTAAATGATAAACACTTAACGTTATCATAAATGTGAGAAACAGAAGTGTGCACCTATCTTCCACCAGCTAATCATTTTTCCCTATAAGCAACTCATGCTGTGACATGGTGGCAGTGAATGGAACTTAAGGGTGTATGATTTGCACATTCAGTTGGGTTTGTGTTTCTCTTACTGTTATTGTTGTTCAGTTACTTTAGAAAAACACTGAATTTACCTCTTTGTAAAGTTAATTGTGTTTGTAAGAAAAAGAAAATAACCCCAATAAACCCAGGGAATGGTACAGTAACATTCTCAATAGTTCTCAATAATAATTCTCAAACATTCTCTGATTGATTGCTGTGCCCACTATGAAAGATGATTAAAATAATGAAATATATATACTGTACTAGTCTTATCAGGCTTAGAACAGAATACCAGGTAAATATAAGTCAATAGCGTAATATTTATACTTTAACGGAATTAAATGTTTGAATGTACAGTATTTTTCTAATACATTACTTGATATTAATTTCTGTGTTATATATTTGTTTTAACCATTTTAAAACTAAAAACTAAAAAATCAGAAGAAATATGACAGCCAGTAATTTAACATTCATCATCAGTTAGCATTACCAGGTTAATGGCAGCAGGCTGTCCCTATAACTTAGTGCCTGAATCTGTTGATCTGCTCTACATCCCTTAAGGCAGTGGTCCCCAACCTTGGGCCTCCAGATGTTCTTCGACTACATCTCCCAGAAGCCTTCACCACCACCTCTGCTGGCCAGGATTTCTGGTAGTTGAAGTCCAAGAACATCTGGAAGCCCAAGGTTGGGGACCATTGCCTTAAGGGGAAAGAAATTGATACCTGGCCATGTCTAACCATAGGAGTGGGGTCTGTCTCCAAGGTCGGGCTATTTTTCACCTTCAACTCCCACATAGGTGTTGAATGTCTGGTTGGTTAATTAGATGTTAAATAGTATCTGGTTGATGTATTATTATTGCTGTGCTACATATTGTTGACTTTGTTTTTTTACCTTTATAATTTTACTTAGCAGAAGCTGATTTGATTCTTCTAGTGATGTAAGAATATAAATATTGTTAAATTCTGTCATTGACTGTATCTCTTCGCTTCTCTCTCCTTCCATGCCAGGTGATTGACACCTTATCAATATTGTCATGGACACAGATTGCTCAGCGTAGAGGGTTCATGTAAGTGCCAATGACTTCTATAGCAGTAGCAGTGATACGATAATTTGCGTGCGCATACCATTTTTATAAAGAGACAGTCTCTTCATTTGGGATGGTGTATAGCACTGTCTGCTTTTAGTTTCTGCCTCTCTCTCACACAGCACATGTGTGTGTGTGTGTGTGAGAGAGAGAGAGAGAGAGAGAGAGAGAGTGAGTGAGTGAGTGAGTGAGTGAGTGAGTGAGTGAGTGAGTGAGTGAGAGTGAGTGAGAGAGCGAGAGCGTTATAGGGATGTTATACCTGTTGTCCCAAGGAAAAATGTTAGTGTTGGTTGCTTTGCTGGTCCACCAAAGAGAGAACAACAAATGGACTTAGTGGGACAAGCTCTTCATCCATACATTTCAAAGGGGACTGCCCCAGTCATGAGATACTTATGATCAAAGGGTCTCTTTGGCAGGAACTGCAGTCAAGCCACAGAATAAGAGATGCTCATAAAGTTCTGTTACGTAAACATTTTCTCAGTTTTATGCTTGTAACAGTTTCTCAGGTTTTATGCTTATATGACAGTGGTTCACTGCTTTTGAAATCTGTTACAGAATTCTCTCCTGTTTCTTGATTCATCTGTATCCTTTTGAGATCTAGGTTGCCATTTATTGCTGGTTTAATTAGTGTGGTACAGGTAGAGTGAGGAAAATATCAACTTATTTGTGTACACTTTGTGTATTTCAAAGTGTACACAGAAGAATTTGGGGGATAGATCAGCTTCTCTATGGTGCTTTATAGTGAGTGTGCCAGAAAAGAAAGTAGCAACCAATGGACTATATCATCTATCCACAAGACAAATAATTTTGTGATACCTCATATATAGAGATTTATTATGGTATAAGCATTCATTACCAATAATTCAAATCATCAGATGCAACTACTAAATCCATCTGTAATAAATTGTTAATCTTTGAAACTGCTACAAAATTATCATTTAGGGCTGAATCCAAGTTTTGCTTCCAACTAGAGTAGGCCCACAGAATGAGTGCAACTTAACAGTGCTTCATCAAAATTCATATGGGCAGCACCACAGGTGCTGCTTGTTCCCTACCCCTACCCTCCATTTGCCTGCCCCACTCACAAGCTGGTGCATGCCACCTGGTTCCTCCTTCTTGGGTGACTGTCCACTCTATGCAGAAGCTCAGGATTCCTTTCCCCACCTCCTCCAGCAGCCAACCACTCAATGGCTGCATAGCAAGAGTCCCAGCCCCACCTCCTCGTCTGAGGTGTCGGCTGCCAGAGGAGGTGTGGAAGTGAAGACCGAGCTCGTGCCCAGACTGGACAGCCACCTGAGAGTGAGGACCAGGGCAGTGTCAAATGGACTGTGAGTGGGGCAGCCAGCCAAGGGTGGGGGGAGGGAATGCACGGCACCTGTGGTGCTGTGCATATGGGAAGGGAATGCACGGCACCTGTGGTGCTGTGTGTATAAATTTTGATGAAGTGCTTCATGCCCATCTCTACTTAATACATCCAATTCATTTGGTTTTTTCCAGTGTGGTGTAGTGGATAGAGTGATGGACTAGTACTTTGAAATGAAATATATGTACTGTACTAGTCTTGCACAGTGAAACTTACTGGGGGAGTAGAGCTGGTAAAACCACTCCTTGAATATCTCACTTATCTTGAAACCCTATTAGGGTTGTTATAAGTTACAGTGGTGCCCCACTAGACGCTTACCCCGGTAAACGACGAAATTGCTTGACAATGACTTTCTTGCGATCGCTATTGCATTTGTTCGCTAAATGATAATGTTTCCAATTCTGCAAAATGACTTCCTTCCCTTCACAAAATGGCTGTTTTCCGGACAGAAGCTTCGGAAGACAGCAATTTTAAACACCTGATCGGCGGTTCTCTATGGGCGATCTTCGCTGGACAATGAGGTATTTCCCCATTGGAACGCATTAACCAGTTTTCAATGCATTCCAATGGGTTTTTTTATATGACGACAATTTCGCTGTACAGCGATTTTGACAGAACAGATTATCGTCATCATGCGGGGCACCACTGTAGTTCCAATTTCATGGCACAGAACAAATACACAAACTCATTTGGGGGGTTGTTCAGATAGCTGTAAAGGTACATGCCTGATCACACTAGAAAGTGTTGCTTTAACAGGAGTGTTCTCCCTGAAGGCAACCTGTTTGTCCATTGAGGAAATGCTCCAGCAAGGCCACCAAAGTAGAAGCCTGGCAGCTGGACTAAAAAGATCCAGTTTAGGAACAGATTAGGTTGGACTTGGGTGCACTTCTCTGCACATCATGTTATTGCCAGGAAATAGAACACACTGGCCTGCTCCACAAGTGTTCCAAATCACATTCTATTTCCTTGTGTGATCATATCCAGAGCCTGCTTTAGTTGGGACAAGCCACAAAGATGCTTCAGCTTTAACGATCCAGACTAAGGGTGCAATCAGAGGGCAGGAAAAATGTGTGTGTGTGATTGTACTGGAAAGAAACACTTGATAGGGAACAATCTCTCTTAAAACAACCCTTCTGTTTGCTAAGGAATCACACCAACCTGGCCCCAAAACTTAGGATGTCCAAGAAGGTCCAGCTTGGACATGGATCAAGCGCATCATATGCTTCAGCTTTAACGATCCAGACTAAGGATGCAATCAGAGGGCAGGAAAAATTTGTGTGTGTGATTGAACTGGAAAGAAACACTTGGTAGGGAATAATCTCTCTTAAAGCAACCCTTCTGTTTGCTAAGGAATCATACCAACTTGGCCCCAAAACTTAGAATGTCCAAGAAGGTCCAGCTTGGACATTGATCAAGCGTAGCACGGATTGTAATTCCCCATATGTCATGTGATTGCTGGGAAATAGATGACACTAGACCACTGCACAAGCAGTCCAAAATGCAACATTTTCCCCCTTGTGATCATACCCTAAGTCATACTTAGGAAACATCCACTAAAATGAATGTGACTTTTGTTAGTCACGACTAACATAAGATCCATTGATTTCAATTAATCTGCTTTGAGACTTCTGAATCCAGCTCATTCCCCATCCCCACCCCTGTATGGCTCATTGATCTGCATGTGGACATTCTAGTCTCATCTTTAATATTTTTTGTTATGTTACAGGCCATTCCCTACAGAGGACAGCATTGCTGATGACGATATATACAGCGGCTTATCAGATCAGATTGAGTAAGGAACAAGTAGATTCCAAGAGATTTCTATCCAGAATGTATATCCAGAATTACTCACCCCTCACCCCCATTCCTGGAATGATATAAATGTATAAAATTAGTAATTCAAAGAAGAGCTTTTCCTATCTCCTCATAAAGATAGGAAAAATAAATAAAAAATATTTTACTGCTGAATTTATTTTACCCATCACAATTCTTCTAAGGTAAAGGAGTCCTTCCATGAAAAAAACTGTCAACCATATTTGTGCCAAGAAAGGACTATGAAACTCTGTCATTTTTCGCCTGAGCAAAGGGTGAATCAGCAAAAGGATCAAATGTTTCTAAGGAATGCATCCCTAAGATGTCTGCTTACTTCAGCAAAGGAGGGTTTAGAGAGAGTTCTATGGAAGGTTTTTATTCCAAAATATGTTTTATTTCCAGAATCTTATAGGAGGTTCAGACATCGGCTTTAGTTTGCAGCCCACTCTCACATTTCCTCATTCCTACTTCTGTCTTTTTCCTTAACAAGAAAGAAAAGAAGTCAGTGAAGGAGGGAAAAATAAAATAGATGCCTAAGACCTTTTGATTGATAGTGCTAGGAGCTCTCCACCAGACCTAGAAGCAGCCTGAGAGAAAACATTTTCAGATTTTTGGTTGAATGCTAAACTATAATAGCATCTTCTCAAGAAAGTTCCAAACATGTTGAGAAGAAGGAATAAGATATGTACCTAGTGTGAGATGCAGAACCAGATGAAAGGAGACATCGACCCAGATAAGAAGATGTGACATTGGTCCTAAAACATAAACACACATTTCAGTGTCAATTTTTTGCTTAGAGGAGCATATTACCTGTGCATCAACTCCTCTCCCAAGGGATTAGAATGCTGTTCACTGAAAGGAATTTTGAGAGATGGGTCTGTCAGGGTTAGCAGGATATGAACATTGTTTTTCTTTACTTCAGCTCTCAGAATATTTATTTATTTATTTATTTATTTATTTATTTATTTACTTACTTACTTACTTACTTACTTACTTACTTACTTAC